TTATCACACACACACACACACACCTTGTATGTATGTATATATATATATATATATATATATATATATATATATATATATATATATATATATATATATATATATAATTTCGTGGCTTTCAATATGAAAGTAGACAGATGTGGTATCCACATAATTGGCTGCTGTTGTATAATGGTTTAATATTATAATCTCAGATTCTTATCTTAGCTGTTGATTATTTTAGTACCGATTGTGGAGCTCCATTTATTCTCAAACGATAATTTATAGTCTGATAAATATAGGATGCGGATGTAGCACATTTTATTTTAATAGCTTTGATAAAACTTATATGATACAATACTGGTTTTTACTGTTACAACTAATGTTCTTGGTATAATTAAACGTGATGGTGTAGTTAAAGTTTCTTTTAGTTATTGATTTTCTCAAGTCTCGGAAGAAGCTGTACCACCAACACTCGTATAGGTGAACACGTTCTTTTACAATAGTTCGTAAAGGCAAAGGAGCTACTGCAGTATAAGTACACGTGCTGTTATAGTTGTATGCACAGGTGGTAAGTTCAGGTGGAGGCAGAGATACAGGTGTGTGTGGAGGGCAGGATGTGCAGGGGGGAGGAAGGGTGAGCATGGCGTGAAGACACTAAATAAGCTGTGGTTGCTGGGGCTGGAAAACGTATGTTGATCATATACAGAAGCAACAGGTGCACCATGGAAAATATTCCTTTCACGAGAAGCCGAATGGTGCAAGATAAATAGCTGATGCAAGTGGCAGAAGTTACACAAGTGTGTGTGTACGTAGTAGAAGGTCGTCGACTGGCACAACTGTCATACTATGGTTTTTCAATCTCTCGCAAAATTGGAGACAAGAAATAAACACAGTACAATAAACACAAACGTGTGTCAAGGTTCATGACTGATTTTTGAATGTGAAAAAGAAGGATTTTCGCAATTAATAATAAAAACAGCCCCTTACTCTGTTATTGTGTATTTGGGCGACGAGTCTTCAAGTAAATAGTGGATATGTGGCACTAGTTGGGTTCACTACAATGCCGGAAGAAAAAAAAATACTAACACTGATGGTGTTCATGATGCTGACATGTATCTGTTCATTAATAGTCGAGCTCAACACTATGCCTCAAACAACCCGATGATGTATCCAGTGCCTTCCATGCTCTCTATGACCCCTCACCACCACTGCCTGAGTGTATGTACTGGACGGCGTCACATAATGTTCCTGCTTTAAGTGTATAACACGTTAACTATGTAGATATAGTAGTAGGGGCTGTGATACAAATTTAAGGAGCACTTTGACAGCGTTGGTCACTCAGCGTTCACATACATAAAAAATGCATTCAACACCAAAGCAAGGAGAAATTTAAACAATAAAAGCAACGAACAAACGCTCTACACAAACACTGTCATGCCAATTTAAAATAACCAGCATCGGTTAAAAACTAATTAACGTCAAAAGACTTTCCCCGGTAATTACAAAAACCATGAAAGCAGAAAAGCCTAAGCCGTGAGCCGACTGTTAAACTATGATCCACACAGTCAGTGGCATATCACATGCTGCACAGAGGGGAACCGGAGCTTCTGCGACCAGGTGGCTATGAGTGATGTGTGTATGTGCGCGCCTGATCTTCAGTTGACAGATTAATCTCGAAGTGACGATTTCTGTTGTAGGGGAGCGTCCCTACGTACCCCTTCCTTCCTCCTTCCCTCTAACATACATTATCTATAGCATACTCCTAGCTCTGCTGAGATCATCCTGTCGGGATGCAGGTTAGCTGTGTTTTCCCACCATAGTTCTGTAAGATCAAAGTTTATTTTATCCCAGTTGCTCTTATTTGTGAAACTGAATCTGTTGAATACTCTCCCCTGCCCATCCATGACCGTCTTGTTCTTCCACGCCAGTGTGTATGCACCTCTAAGCCTCTGTTACCTTGTGTTCTCACTTCGCTATTTTCAACGCCATTATCTTCCGGACCAGGTTTTTATTATTTGTGGATATAAAGTCGAGGGTATTTTCTAGCTGGGTTGGCACAAGCCGAATTTATTGCAGTCTTAAAAACCGGAGTGCGATAAAATTAAATTCAGAGACAGCTCACTCATAAATGTTCAAGAAATGTCAAATTATTTTATCCACAGTGGTACATTACTAACCATTCTGGAAAAATACCTTGACTTTCCTCACTGTAAATAAAGCATTACCGTGTGTGTGTGTGTGTGTGTGTGTGTGTGTGTGTGTGTGTGTGTGTGTGTGTGTGTGTGTGTGTGTGTGTGTGTGTGTGTGTGTATATATATATATATATATATATATAATATATATATATAATATATTATATATATATATATATATATATATATATATAATACTCAATTGTGGTTGCAGGGGTCGAGACTCAGCTCCTGACCCCGCCTCTTCACTGATCTCTACTAGGTCCTCTCTCTCTCTCTCTCTGCTTCCTGAGCTTTGTCATACCTCGTCTTAAAGCTATGTATGGTTCCTGCCTCCACTACGTCACTTGCTAGGCTATTCCACTTCCTGACGACTCTATGACTGAAGAAATACTTCCTAACATCCCTGTGACCCGTCTGAGTCTTCAGCTTCCAGTTGTGACCCCTTGCTTCTGTGTCCCCTCTCTGGAACATCCTGTCTCTGCCCACCTTATCTATTCCCCGCAGTATCTTGTATGTCGTTATCATGTCCCCCCTGACCCTTCTGTCCTCCAGTGTCGTCAGTCCGATTTCCCTCAACCTTACATTGTAGAACATCCCCCTGAGCTCTGGAACTAGTCTTGTTGCAAACCTTTGTACTTTCTCTAACTTCTTGACGTGCTTGACCAGGTGTGGGTTCCAAACTGGTGCTGCATACTCCAGTATGGGCGTAATGTACACAGTGTACAGTGTCTTGAACGATTCCTTATTAAGGTATAGGAACGCTATTCTTAGGTTTGCCAGGCGCCCGTATGCTGCAACAGTTATCTGGTTGATGTGTGCCTCCAGAGACGTGCTCGGTGTTATGGTCACCCCAAGCTCTCTCCTTGAGTGAGGTCTGTAGTCTTTGTCCACCTAGCCTATACTCTGCGGTCTTCTTTGCCCTTCCCCAATCTTCATGACTTTGCATTTGGCAGGGTTGAATTCGAGAAGCCAGTTTCTGGACCACGTGTCCAGTCTGTCCAGGTCTCTTTGTAGTCCTGCCTGATCCTCATCCGATTTAATTCTTCTCATCAACTTCACATCATCTGCGAACAGGGACACTGCAGAGTCTATCCCTTCCATCATGTCATTCACATGTATCAAAAATAGCACTGGTCCTAGAGCTGATCCTTGTGGGACCCCACTCGTCACAGACGCCCACTGTGATACCTCTTCACGTACCATGACTCGTTGTTGCCTCCCTGTCAGGTATTCTCTGACCCATTGCAGTGCCCTCCCTGTTATATGCGCCTGATCCTCCAGCTTCTGCACTAATCTCTTGTGAGGAACTGTGTCGAAGGCCTTCCTGCAGTCTAGGAAAATGCAATCCACCCACCCTTCTCTCTCGTGTCTTACTTTTGTTACCTTGTCATAAAACTCCAGAAGGTTTGTGACACAGGATTTGCCTTCCATGAATCCATGCTGGTTGTCATTTATAATCTTGTTCCGTTCCAGATGCTTCACCACTCTCCTCCTGATAATCTCCATGACTTTGCATACTATATACGCCAGAGACACTGGTCTGTAGTTTAGTGCCTCGTTTCTGTCTCCTTTCTTAAAAATGGGGACAACATTTGCCGTCTTCCATATCTCAGGTAGTTGCCCAGTTTCAAGGGATGTATTGAAGATTGTGGTTAGGGGCACACACAACATCTCTGCTCCTTCTCTAAGGACCCACGGGAAGATGTGTGTGTGTGTCCGTCCGTCCCAATTAATATATGCACTAACAACTCATTACAGCTGTGACCGGGTGTGGACGTGTGAATTGCTTATTACTTTTTAATTTGTTCATGATCGTAACCATGTATAGACGTGTAGATGATTCATTACCTTTGTAACCCGGTCATGATTGTGACCAAATCTACCTGGAGCTCATTACCATTGCAACTTGTTCAGCTATCAAAACTCTGGGGTCCAGTCTCTGAGCCCATTATGTACCTCCTTTGACTAACGCTCACAGGATGAGTATCGGATGCATAATAAAGACATTAAATTAACTAATTAATAGTTCGACTGAGTCTTCGTCCGAACTACCTCCTCGGGTTTTCTCTGCCATGATCATCTGTATTATATTCTTCCATTTTATATGTCTTAAACTTAAGTTACCAAGCAGTAGGATATTTGGGGGGCTGGGTTTGATAGATTCGAGACACTACTCTGTTTTCAATATTTGGTCTTTGAACTGCTGAGACGGTGTATCTGGTGATTTACATACAATAGCTAGATTATTGCCAATTTTAATCGCCAAAACACTGATAACATCGTTTGTGGTAACTCAGTACAGACGAGCTACTAACATACCAATCAACGCCACCACCTCGATGTTGCCAGTTTCTGTATGATATGTAAGTAGACTGTACCCTGGTATCCTTATTTTGCTATCAAAATTGTCTTAGGTGGGTCTCTGCAGAAGTTGGAAACTTTGCGTTTAACTAAATGAGGAGTTCGCTTATAAACGTTATTTTGTTGGTCAATATCTCGTCTGTTTGCAAACACAAATGCTGTTATATTTTTTGTTGCTGTATTGAGGGAGATTTGCTGGTATTAATATTACGATTCTGACGAACCAGCCACTGGCTTTGTATTCAGTTCATGGCTCCGAGGTGGTGATAGATTCTTGCTGCTTCCTGCCACCTCATGCTCAGTGTAGTACCACTTCTTGTTGAGTAACAGCACAACTTGCGTAGCACCACTACCAGGTGAGTAGCACTACCAACACTTACGTAGCACCACTACCTAGTGAGTGTAGCACTACCATCACCTACGTAGCACCACTGCTATTGAGTGTAGTGCCACCTCTTGTTACAGAGACGGTCATGCAGGGTGCCGAGGACTACTCCAGACCCTCGCACTCGCCGCCCATGTCCCCCCACGGTCTGCCGCCCCACGCCCGCATCTCAGCCTTCTCTGTGGTCACACCCCACACCAAGCCTTCCACTGGTAAAGGTAAGATACCCTGGTGACTACTCAAACATATGCCCTAGTGGTCACCCACGGTACCTGTTCTTGTTAACGTGTGAATTATAGCATCTGTCCTCATATGCGTAAAATTACATCTGCCCTCGTACATGTGTATCACAACATCTGTTCTCCCACAGCAACTCTCAGTAGTAGTAACCAGTTACCAGTAACCACTGTCCCAGTTGACTCACGACCAACCGTCTCTGCCTGAGTCACTGTCTATTCATATTGAGCTGACCTGGCATTCAAAGACCCTCTATGGGTACGTGGGCGGCCAGTCAGTCAGTGTTACGAGAGGAGCGAGTGAGATAGGTACGGCTGTAAGGGCGTTACACACATTATCTGTAATTATACGTACTACCAGCCTACGTGAGTATTTCTTACCTAATCCACGTGTCGAACTCCCACATGATACAACTGCCTTTGTGTTCGTGTCCACTCACTACAATTGTCTTCGAATTTATGGCTACTCCCACAATAACACAAGGCTACTCCCACAATAATACAAATCTACTCCCACAACACGTCATTACACAGGCTGACAATTCATGTCCCACAAGTCAAAAACTAATCTCAAGAATTAGTGAACAACAGCTGTTGCAAAACACGTGTAAACACAGATCCTCACTGGTGTATTCCAATGCCTGTCTTTTAGCATAAATATCACCTGAGCAGATGCTGTTCTCTGCTCCTTGCATTTTACCTGTCTCACACGTGTCCGAATATTTTACGACATTCAATTAGATACACAGGTGTTCACTTCTCTGTTGCACCTGTCTGGTGGTGTTGCCGCAGGTGTCTACTTCTCTGTTTGACCTGTCTGGTGATGTTGCCGCAGGTGCTCATTTCTGTTGCACCTGTCTGGTGGTGTTGCCGCAGGTGTCCACTTCTCTGTTGCGCCTGTCTAGTCATGTTGCCGCAGGTGTCCACTTCTCTGTTGCACCTGTCTGGTGATGTTGCCGCAGGTGTCCACTTCTCTGTTGCACCTGTCTGGTGATGTTGCCGCAGGTGTCCAGTTCTCTGCCTCACCTGTCTGGTGATGTTGCCGCAGGTGTCCAGTTCTCTGCCTCACCTGTCTGGTGATGTTGCCGCAGGTGTCCAGTTCTCCGCCTCACCTGTCAGGTGATGTTGCCGCAGATGTCCAGTTCTCTGCCTCACCTGTCAGGTGATGTTGCCGCAGGTGTCCAGTTCTCTGCCTCACCTGTCAGGTGATGTTGCCGCAGGTGTCCAGTTCTCTGCCTCACCTGTCAGGTGATGTTGCCGCAGGTGTCCAGTTCTCTGCCTCACCTGTCAGGTGATGTTGCCGCAGGTGTCCAGTTCTCTGCCTCACTTGTCAGGTGATGTTGCCGCAGGTGTCCAGTTCTCTGCCTCACCTGTCAGGTGATGTTGCCGCAGGTGTCCAGTTCTCTGTCTCACCTGTCAGGTGATGTTGCCGCAGATGTCCAGTTCTCTGCCTCACCTGTCAGGTGATGTTGCAGCAGGTGTCCAGTTCTCTATTCTACTCTGCAGCTGTAGTCACAACTGCTACGGCCGATGATGTGTTGGTGGCTTTTGTAAAACAGTGATTTGATAGCAGTTCTGAGCACAGGTGTGTTAGGTTAGGCTATAGTGCAACTCTTATTAAAGGTCACATTCCTGATAATGATTACAGTTGTTTATGATTACACGTGTTTACTACACGAGGTCCCACAGATGTTAACCCAAGTTATTAAAACTTAAGCCGAGAGCAAACAGATGATTGCGGAAGTGCAGTGGGTAAGTGCCTTGGTAAGTGAGAGTTGTGAGTGTAGTTGTGTGGTGATGGACGTGGTGGTGATGGTAGTGATGGACGTGGTGATGGTGGGCGTGGTGATGGTAGTGGTGACGGTAGTGGTGACGGTAGTGGTGACGGTAGTGATGGAGGTGGGTGGTGGTGATGGAGGTGGTGGTGGTGGTGATGATGGTGGTGGACGTGGTGGTGGTGATGGTGGTGACGGTATGATGGAGGTAGTGATGGACGTGGTGATGGTGGTGGGCGTGGTGATGGTAGTGGTGACGGTAGTGATGGAGGTGGGTGGTGGTGATGGTGGTAGACGTGGTGGTGGTGATGGTGGTGACGATAGTGATGTGGAGGTGGTGGTGATGGAGGTGGTGATGGTGGTGGTGATGGTAGTGGTGACGGTAGTGATGGAGGTGGGTGGTGGTGATGGAGGCGGTGGTGATGTGTGGTGGGTGGTGGTGATGGACGTGGTGGTGGTGATGGTGGTGACGGTAGTGATGGAGGTGGTGGTGGTGATGGTGGTGACGGTAGTGATGGAGGTGATGGTGGTGACGGTAGTGATGGAGGTGGTGATGGTGGTGGTGGTGGCGACGGTAGTGATGGAGGTGGTGACGGCAGTGATGGAATTGGCGGTGATGGAGGTGGTCATGGTGATGGATGTGGTGATGGTGGTGACGGTAGTGATGAACGTGGTCGTGGTGATGGAGAGTGGTAGTGGTGACTGGTCCCAGACCAATGGAAGGAATATAAATTTGTGATGCAGTAATACAAAGGTTTGAGGAGATAATAGAGGATTAAGTGAAGGGAATAGAGGTGTGAGGGGGAGGGAGGGGAGACTCGTGGCAGCAGGCTGCAGGACAGGGGAGAGGGAGGGGAGACTCGTGGCAGCAGGCTGCAGGACAGGGAGAGGGAGGGGAGACTCGTGGCAGCAGGCTGCAGGACAGGGGAGAGGGAGGGGAGACTCGTGGCAGCAGGCTGCAGGACAATGGAGAGGGAGGGGAGACTCGTGGCAGCAGGCTGCAGGACAGGGGAGAGGGAGGGGAAACTCGTGGCAGCAGGCTGTAGGACAGGGGAGAGGGAGGGGAGACTCGTGGCAGCAGGCTGCAGAAGGACAGGGGAGAGGGAGGGGAGACTCGTGGCAGCAGGCTGCAGGACAGGGGAGAGGGAGGGGAGACTCGTGGCAGCAGGCTGCAGAAGGACAGGGAGAGAGAGGGGGAGACTCGTGGCAGCAGGCTGCAGGACAAGGGAGAGGGAGGGGAGACTCGTGGCAGCAGGCTGCAGGACAGGGGAGAGGGAGGGGAGACTCGTGGCAGCAGGCTGCAGAAGGACAGGGGAGAGGGAGGGGAGACTCGTGGCAGCAGGCTGCAGAAGGACAGGGGAGAGGGAGGGGAGACTCGTGGCAGCAGGCTGCAGGACAGGGGAGAGGGAGGGGAGACTCGTGGCAGCAGGCTGCTGAAGGACAGGGGAGAGGGAGGGGAGACTCGTGGCAGCAGGGTGCAGAAGGACAGGGGAGAGGGAGGGGAGACTCGTGGCAGCAGGCTGCAGAAAGACGACAGCTACACAGTTAAACAGAACTAATAACACACGAAAAACATGGGAGGTGTCAGGCTGCAATTACAACACACGTACAAGAGGGAAGGAAGGTAGTGGTAGGGAAGGTGGCAGTAGGGGAGAGGGGTCTACTGGGAATTGGAATGACACCCCGGCTACATAATCTCCCCTAGAAGTTCTGTAATAGATCATTCTATCTCAAGAAGTGCCACTTGGCAGTGCCTTTGGGGACAGTTGGCGTGAGTGCCACCGCTAGCAACAACGGCTGCTCGGGGAAAGTATAACTCCCGCCCCACCAGAAATGTCGTGCGTCCCGTCCCTTGAGACAATGTCACTTGTACCCAATTGTAGGCTGACACCTAGCAAACGTGGAATTACTGCCTTCCAGAAACTCCATACGGTGTTCCTGGGTAGTGGCTGCCTTGTCTCACCTCTCAGGGTGCTGTTCAGGGACCCCACAGGGTGTTCCGGGGGAGTGGCTGCCTTGTCTCACCTCTCAGGGTGCTGTTCAGCGATGTTCGTCGTGTTTGTTCAGTGATTATAGTTCACCATCTCTGGCATACGCCGGAGTTATGAATCAGGAATTTTTCATCGAGTTTAGGCTCTGGTCACTAGTCGGGTGTTGGTCGTTTCCAAGTTTTGATTACAAATCGGCTGTTAGTTTATAAGTTCTGTGACAAATCAGGTGTTGGTGGTCACGTTTTAACACATCAACTGTGAACACTCCGCAGTTGTACTGTGTCTTTCATCAGCAGATACAAAGAGTGAAAACATCCATGCGTGCCACAGCATTGTAGTTTTTCACTTGTTTCAACTACCTTATTTTCCTCAGCAGCTGCCATGTACTAAACGTTCTTATGCCCATCGGTGTCATTTAGGCGTCTGAAAGTACACCTCAGCACGTGGTAACAACAGTACAGAAATCTCAGCACGTGGTACCAACAGTACAGACCTCAGCACGTGGTACCAACAGTACAGAGACCTCTGCACGTAGTAGGAACAGTACAGATACCTCAGCACGTGGTAGCAACAGTACAGAGACCTCAGCACGTGGTAGCAACAGTACTTGACAGCACACAACTCACCAGGTGTACACACAGCTCACACACACACACACACACACACACACACAGCTCACACTAGGTACAGTTCACCTGGTACACACACAGCTCACAACCTAGTATACATCTCACCAGCAGGTACACACAACTCACAAGCAGGTACACAGCTCCACATTCTCAACATCAATCACCAGTCACTTGCTGCGCTGCGGGTTGTCTTTGTATATTAAGAACCATCGTTATGCGGGTAGCGACCAACCCACCCACGTAGTGACAATGAACTGTGCACTTAGTGTGAGGCTCGATACTAAATGTGTTGTCAGCAGAGAACGCCGGCGGCGGCGTGGGTACTGTAAGTGAAGAGCAACACATGTGCAGCAACACATGTGCAACATTAAGAATCTTTATTGACAAAAACGTTCGCCTGAGTTGAAGACTTCATCAGTCGAATACAATTACACTCCTGGAGAGATCAGCTTCGGTGAAACACAAAGCTGATTTCTCCAGGAATGTAATTCATCTTTGTATTCGAATGATAAAACCAACGGCATAGGTTAGACGTTTTGTCAGTAAAGATTTCTAGTGTTACATATATTGTATACCATTTATATAAA